TTCAATAGGCTATACCGAAACCAGCAGAGATATCAAAAATCTGGGAGCACATTCTCGGGCTTTTTATTTGAGAAAATAACAATGGCGAAGACAAATCGCGGCTAACTTGATGCATTTAGGAAATACAGGGCACTTTTCAAATTTTGCCCATTTTTTGAAGACATTCTAATTTCTTTATTAATCAAGATTATCCAAAAACGAAAAATACTTCCTATAGGCAGTTTTTCAAGGAGAATCCGGTGGCATGACCAATTTTTCTCCAGATGCCTCCGATTTTGGAATATTCACCAAAGTTGTGTTTTTTAAATGGGACACCCCGTATATTATTTTTTTTATTGAATAGCTCTTTATGAGCTGATTTCAATGATATGAGGTTTTATACCTTTACCTTTTATAGTTTCGGAGAAAAAAAAATTAATTCCGTTTTTCCATAAGAAACAATGAGCTAGAGAGAGATCATTAAATAAATTATGTGTTACCAAAGAATATTATAGACTAACGTCTCTAGAAGTCTCGTCCGTATTCTGATTTTTGATACCTCGATGGACGCCGGCTTTTGCCGGTGTGGACGCTGGCTCGAGTCTATTGCCCACTGTTGCCGAGTTGTCAGTGCTGTTGATTCAGCGTCCAGCCAGCGAGCCAGCATCCGTGTCTGCTTCTCTGAATGAAGTTATTAAAGTGAAATATTTGCTTTGCGTGCCAAAAGGAATTAGGAAGTTAAGCATATATTTTCTAACATATTTGATAATTTACCAACGAATATCATAGATGGATGCTATTCTATCATTTTCTTTAGGTTTTTTTTTCAGTATATTTGGCAAATTTGCCACTTAGAAATTTATGTTTAATTTCGAATTATGAATTATTTATTTATTTTCCAGTAGATCGGTTTATTTACCAACAAGTAAATTTTGGGGTCGGTCAAGTTTCCGCCTGTATTAAACAAATTTCAAAAATAAATACCTAAACCATAATAATTTTGCACACTATAACTAAAATATTGCACACAACACAACGAAAACTAGAGCATTTTTTTAAACTAGGGACAAACTTGACCGTTCCCCCTTGTTTGTCTAAAACTTGAAAAATTCCTATGCTACTTGGTTCACCTAAATTTGCACAATTTCGCATGCCTATTTTCAAATTTTGCACACTTTTCTGAGGAAAGTTAAAGTATGTTTTTATTTTTTAAATAATTCCCCAAGTCAAAAATTCAATAACTATGTTGGCAACACAAGCCTTTTCTACATAAAAAATTTGAAAGCATTGACAATTTTACATTGCATTGCCAACTTAATGTCATTTTGACTTTTATCTTTAAAAAAAAAAACTTTTTCTACAAACGTGTCTAAAATGCAATTTTTAACACCCCCCGTAGCATTAAAAATGTTACTTTATCGCACTAGTGCCATAAAGTCTTTATAGCACTAGTGTTAAAAATGAAACATCAAATTTTGAGAGCGAACGTCAAAAATGTTTGTATTTTTAGTTATTTACATTGATATTAATGGTAAAATTGGAACAACTGAGGTAGCCCGATTGGCCGCCTCATCTATATTTTTCAAGGGATCGATGCAATCTTCTCTTTCTTCTGTATTTTGTTGCATTTCTAGCAAAAATAATTACTGACCACGACATACTTTCAAGAAACTGACAAGACATTTCATTACCTGTAAAACAAGGTGCTGGTTGTTTGGATTTTTTGATAAATGTCAAATTCAATAATTTTATGTAGGAAAGATGCTTCCAATTTATTATTCATTGAAAAATCCAATTTGATGACGTCATAATTTAGAAATCTTAGATTTTACTATCACTTTTCCGCGATTGTAAACCCACTTTTCCGCAAATATTACCTCATTTTTTCGCGATTCTTATCTCACTTTTTCACAAATTCACACTCACTTTTTTTGTGATTTTTGACCCACTTTTTTGCAATTTTGTTTTCACTTTTTTGCGATTTTTGGCTCTCACTCCTCGGCGATTACAAACTTATTTTTCTGCTATTTCATCCTCATTTTTCCGCGATTCTTACCTCATTTTCCCGCGATTGTTCCCCTACTTTCCGCGATTTTATCTCCACTTTTCCGCTAATTTGACCTCACTTTTTTTGTGATTTTTGAAAAATATTTTTTTTTTTATTTTTGACTCATTTTTTTGCAATTTTATCATCACTTACCGCAATTCTAAATCCACTTTTTCACGATTGTAAACCGACTTTTCTGTAAATATAATCTCATTTTTCCGCGATTCTTGTCTCACTTTTTTTTGCGATGTTATCCTCACTTTTCCGCGATTCATATTTCATTCTCCGCGATTTTATCCTTACTTTTCGTGACTTTATCCTCATTTTTCCGTGAGTCTCATCTTACTTTTCCGCGAGTTTAAATTCACTCTTTTTGAAATTTTTAACTCATATTTTTCTTGCGATTTTTGACTCTTTTTTTTGTGATTTTATCATCACTTTCCACGATTTTATCTTCATTTTTCCTCATTTCAAAATTACGAAAATAACGATAATTTTTGAAAAGTTATGAAAAATTACGAGAATTACGCTAAAGTACGTAAAATATGAAAAATTAGAGAGAGTTGCAAACATTTACGAGAATTACGGAACATTACGAGTATCACGGAATAACAAAAAATTGCGGAAATTACAAAAATTATGGGAATTGCCAATATTACGCAAAAGAATTACGAAGTCACTCCAAAATTACGTCAATTATTTAAATATTACTAATTTTTGAAAAGTTACGAAAACTAACAAGACAAATTACGGGAATTACGAAAATAATGGGAATTTTAAAAATTTACGGAACCTAGTAAAATGACGGAAATGACGAAAATTTGCGGGAATTATGAGAAATTATGAAAATTACGGGAATTGAGAAAAATACAAAAATCTACGAAAATTACAAAAATTACGGGTATTACGAAATATTACGGAAAAGAATTACAAAGTCATTTCAAAATTACGTGAATTACGGTAGTTCCCAAAATAACGAAAATCACAATTTTTTGAAATTACGAAAAATTACAATAACTTAGGGAGAATTAGAAAATTCCGAATTTTTTCTGGAAATTAGTAAAATTGAAAATTAAAAAATTGAAAATATAAATAATTACTGGAAAAAGCGCGAAAAATTGCGGGAATAACGAAAATTACCAAGTTTTGCAAAAATTGAAAAAAATAACGGGGAATTAGAAAATAACAAGAATTATCTCAGAAATGACACGAATTAAAAAATTTCGAAAATCCCCAAAAAAAATACGGAAATTACCAATTTTCGAAAATTTCAAAAACTTAAAGAAAATTATAAAACTAACGAAATTTTTTTGAGAAATTACGGAAATTAAAAAATTACGAAAATATGTAATGGGAATTACGAAACTTTCGAGTTTTTCGAAAATTGTAAAAACTAAGGGGGTATTAGGAAAATAACGAGAATTATCTGAGAAATGACAGGAATTACAAGATTTCGAAATTCCCAAAATAAAATACGAAAATTACGAGACTTATATAATTTCAAAATTATGAAAATAACGGAGTTTTCTGAGAAATTACAGGAATTAAAAATTACGGAAATCTGAAAACTACAGGAATTATTCAAAAATTATGAAAAATACGAAAAAATCACGAGAATTAAAAAAATTGTGACGAATTTTCAAAAAATTACGAAAATAACAAGAATTACAAAAAGTTACAGGATTCACGAATTTTCCGAAAATTGCAAAAACTAAGGGAGAATTATGAAATTAACGAGAATTTTTTGAAAAATGACGAATTCTCGAAAATTCCAAGAAAAAAAAAATACGGGAATTACCACTTTTTGAGAATCACAACAAACTGGGGGGGAATTATAAAGATAACGGAGTTTTTTTGAAAAATTACGGGAATTACAAAATTACGAAAATTTGAGGAACTACAGGAAATATAAAGATTGGAAGAGATAAGGAAAAATCACGAGAATTGCGAAAAAATTACGATAATTTTTGGTAAGTTACGGGATTTATGAAAAAGTTACGGGAATTACGAAAATTACGAGTTTTCCAAGAATTGCAATGACTAAGGAAGAATTATAGAAATAGGGAGAATTATCTGAGAAATTACGGAAATAATGAAAATTCACAATAAAAAATTTTTGAAAATTACGAGAATTACGAATTTTTGAAAGTAACAAAAACTTAGGGGGAATTATAAAATAAGTAGGTAACTGAATATTTTGAGAAATTACAGAAATTAAAAAACTGAGAAACAACAGGAATTATTCAAAAATTACGGGAATTTTGGAAAGTTACGAAAAATTAAGAAAATTAGGAAAAAGTTATGGGAATTACGAAAATTAGGAGTTTTGCAAAAATTGCAAAAACTAAGAAAAAATTATAAAAATAAGGAAATTTATTTGAGAAATAACGGCTTTCAACAATTTTTTTTCGCAATTTAACCTTCACTTTTCCGCAATTTCAAAGTCCAAACTCACTTTCTCGCAATTTCAACAAAATTTTCCGCGA